AAGGCACAGCGGACCTGTCAAGCTTTGAATTTAAAGCCATACTTTGCATTTAAATTGTTTGGATAGAGGTGTCCTTTATAACCTTTCCAAAGCCAGAAACACAAGAGCAAACATGGAACAAATGGATTACCTGCTCTATCATGAACTGCAATTATTAGCATGTCTGGCTAAGTAGCTTGCTAGCTGCAGTAGTAACCAAGCATTAGGATTTATGTTGGTCTATATACACACAGACTGTTAACTAGTTTGTGAGATTTGTAGGTTAAAAATAACCCATCCACAACTAGTGTTCACCCTCGTACAACTGGATGCTATCATGTTTTATCAATCAATGGTGGCCAGCGTACTTTTTCATGCTGCAGTCTGCTGGGGCAGCAGTATGTCCGACATGAACACAAGGAGACTGGACAAGCTGGTAAAAAAGGCTGGATCTGTGCTTGGCAGGAATCTGGACTCACTCAGGACTGTTGTGGAGAAACGCATGCAATGTAAGATGGAGGCCATCTTGGACAATACCAACCATCCTCTCCACAACATTCTGGCAGGACAGAGAAGCAGCTACAGCAGCAGCAAACATCTCATCTCACTGCGCTGCAGAACAGAGAGGTTCAGGAGATCCTTTGTTCCCACTGCCATCAGGCTATACAACACCTCAGCCAAAGGAAGTGGACTAACGTAATTATTATTGTTTATTTATTATTAACTGTTTTATTATTATCAACAATGAGTTAATGGAAAAATGAATTTCCCCTAGGGGATTAATAAAGTATCTATCTATCTATCTATCTATCTATCAATCAATCAATCAATCAATCAATCAATCAGAGTTTAGGCTAATATTAGCAGGTCTATCAGGGGGCGGGGCCAAAATACATAAGGCATGCACTGTTTGCAGTGTACTACTACAGGACAGCTCTTCTAACACAGCACTGACTCAAATTGGTTTTCAGTTTCAAACAGACCTGTTTTTGGAGCACTTGGGGTTTTGTTTTGCAATTCATTTTTTTCGTGACCACCTCAGATTCAGATTCATTTGCTACATTTAAGAAAAGAATGGTTGTGACTGCTGCAATACTTCAGTCACAGTGAGCTGAAAAGTGGACTCTCAGGGAGAAGGGCCAGGAGAGAAACCTAAAAGCATATAGAAAAAGGTATAGAGGGTGTGAGAAAGAGAGAGAGTGACTCATAAATCAAGTAGAGGTGAGATTGCTGAATCAGGGTTGATTGTGCCTGGGAGAGACAATAAAGCCTGTAATCATCTGTCTCTGCTGCACAGACCTGGCAATTATCTGCCCATACCTGACCGCCAGAACAGAAAGGGCAAGATCCATCTACCTTCAGCCTATACACACCCTATTTTTTTAAGCGGCGAAATTCAGCTGCTGATGCAAACTGAAAAAAAGAATATTCACTTAGAGAGGTGCGAATTGGAGGAAACGGAGGATATGGTTGAAGGAGTGTTGCAGGGCTTGTCAGTTTTTCCTGGTTATCCATACTGTATGCAAGGTTTGGGGTGACTCAAAAGAAAGAGTGGTGATATCTGTTTGGATCTTTCATCTCTCACTACCCACACATGTATTAACGCGCGCACAGACACACAGACACACAGCCACACAGACACACACACACATCAAGTAGCCTGCCAATATATTACCTCAGATAAAAGAAGAGTAGCCACTCATTTTTCTGGTATAACACTGCCTACGGAGGCTCCATTTGCGGTTCCTTCATCATAACGTCTGCTTTCAAACAGCTGTCTGAAATTGGCATTTAGGGCACAAATTTACCTCCATTTCCATCCAATACATTGGAGCCTGAAGCATATGGACCATCACTCTCCGACTGAAAGCACTGCACTATGGCCTAAAAGCATTTTTTGCCAGTCCAATAACAGAGCCAAATGAATAGTGTGGTTGTAATTAATCTTTTCTATTGACTGGATAAAACCTCGTGGTGGGACTCAGCTAGTGAATGCTTTTTTTCCCCCGTAGCGCTGTTTTCCCTCCCTAATAGGAGAGTTTGGAGTATAATTGCGAAGTAACCTCGGGTATTGTGGATGATCGATGCTTTTATCAAACACAAATTAAAAGGCAAAAAGGCACCCAAGAAAATAATATGTTGCAACAGGTGCTTTGCATTGCCTGAGCAGTGAGTCGTTTCTCATCGGGTATATTTGTTTATTCACTGCGCACGTACTGCAAAATCAGAAATCCGTCACAGCCACCTGTATGCATGCAGGGTTGTATGTTAAATATTTTAGATTTTTCTGACTTGCTTGTGAGGTGAGCATTTATATTAAAAGGTCAGAGATCCCTTTTCTCAGCAGATCAGTTCTGCTTTTTAGACAATGCTAACACATGAAAATCACAGCAGAGCAGTGAAACAGTGTATTGCCGAGACAATGCTCTTTCATTGATCTTCAGTTAGGTGATCCAGAGCATCACCAAGACTGAACAAAGAGATCAGTGAATCCCAGCCAGAGGCACTTGCACCCCAGGGGATACTTCTGCAACCGCAAAGAGGTAAGTGACTGTGAAGCAGGCTAGCTCAGCTAATTTGAAAAACAAAAAAAACCAACAGAAATTATGATATATAGATAATATATATTTATAATATTTGCTAACAGGAGGAAAATAAGAATCCAAAAGGAATTGTAAATCGATGTGATGTTAATCTTCAGCTTAAGTTTCTGTCACAAAAACCAGTCAGTTGTGAAACGTTGAGAAAGTTAGCAAGCAAACAGAGAAGTCCAAATAGTGATAGTAACGGATAAAATGTAATTAGTTAAAAGCAGTGGATAGTGACTTCAAATCATACGTACCGTTATAAGTTAGTAATAAATAGGTACTTAGTAACTGAAGTAATTTGGACCAGTTGAAATAATGAGCTAATGATTAAACAGTTGAAATAGTTGTTTGAATGTAAACAGTTATAACATTTAGATAAAAGTAATCAATTGAAATAGCTAAAAGTAATGTATATACAGTTTAAATGGTTAGACTGACAATTATATTGTACATTTTGGAAAGGACCATATGCGACAGATGCTATTGATGACGGGCTACTGGAGCTCATCAGACGAGGGTTGTGGCTGTATGACGGGCAGGAAAGTTTGGAACCACTAAATAAATAAATAACTCAAAATAATACAGACAAGCAAGTTGTCTGTCAATTTTTCATTTGCTTCAGAGCCAGAAGATGGGGAAAAAAAAAACACCCTTAAAGACTATTTTCCCTTGTCACTCCTCTTGGTTTAGCCAGCAGTCAGTGTCCATATTGCCAGGGGAGCTGCACTACCTGATAAGCGGAGGTAGAGGCTCTCTGACACATCTGTCTGCTTGATGAGCCAAGTGTCAAAGCCCCCCAAAGTGCTGGATGGAGTGCATCAATAAACGACTTTAATCCCCTCCTGGGGCCAATGTCCTCCCACTAATAAGGGATCGTCTTATACCACTGGCAGTAAGCAGAGAGGTAAAAGTGGCTTGGCATGGGCCTCAGCACGGGGATGTACAGTACACAGGGAATTGTCTGTACACAGGTAACAGGCTGTAAATCACACGCGCCTGCTGTTGCCTTAATTGCTCTGGACTGAATTGGTGTTTTGCTTCCTCCTCCCTCTCACTTTCCCTCCCACTTTTGCCCTCTGTCACTGTTTTTACTCTTTAAAGTTTGTCTGTTTGTCATCACTCTCTCTCTCTGCAACACCTCCTCTCTTTTTGTATTGCAGGCTCTTTTCCCCACCTCCACAATGTATCCAACTTTGCCCCAGACCGTCTCACTTGCCAGACAGAAGAGGAAAAGCAGAGGCATGGGGACCGGTAGCTGGGCAGTATTGGTTGTTCTGAAGGACGTGTGGGTTGCTAGCATCCCCAGGGAAGATCTGATGAGTGTTCTAGTCAGAGTGACCCTAATTAACCACATATTATCTGCAGGCTGTGTGGAGGATTAAGGCCCTCAGCTCTGGACCCTACAGGCCTGGAGACCCAAAGACAGAGGACTCTGCACTGAAGCACACTTCATATTCTGCCTCAAAGCATAACAGAGAGAGGAGGGGGAGTGAAGCTGGATCATAAAAAGAACCAAACACAGAGCAGAGAGCACACTGCAGAGAAGACAGGTTGCTTGAAGCATATCTGCAGGTCAGGACCTTTCTATAATGAGCAAATAAACATAGCAAAACCCAAGCTGCTGTGTACAGTGTGGGAGGAATATGTAGCCATCCTTTTTGGCACCCTCACAAACAAGAAGACATATCGTCTCTTTGTCTGTCACATGTTCCAACACATCTTTCCCCCTCTGCCCAGGTGTTGTTTGAGCAAATTGAGCTTTCTGTAGGAGGAGGGGACCGTTATTCTATTGAGAGATAATGAGCTCATTTTCTCGTTTGACATTAGAAATCCCAGAAATGAACGCTCCGCCATGTTGACAGGTCGTCATACGCACGGCGCGCTGCTACATTAAACCAGCGTTTATTGTCAACTAGGCAATACAATCCACACACACACACACACACACACACACACACACACACACAAAAAAAAACAACCCATATAGATGCAACACAATGATCAGCCCCCACAGGCAGGCAGAGACTGTGGCTTCTGTAGAAAACATTTTAGTAGCAGCTGTGACATACCTCATTTCAGATGAAAGATGTGCAAATATCAACAACATGATTAAACACAAGATTAACTGACGCCAACCAGCCAACTGTTAGAAGAACCCAAAGGTTATAGCTCATAAGATGTGATGTTTCTTTAAGTGTCATGTGTTATCACAAGCATTACGAGCTGCTAGTGAATATATTTCACATTTACATATCACCATACCACTGTATAAAATAGTGCAGTGTAAACAGTTTTACAGGGCTTTCATAAAGTATTACAGGGTAAATCTTTCCGTTGCTAACCCCGGTGCGCAGCTGCTATTCTGAGTCACTGAAACATTTCCTGCGGTTCCAGGCTGTAATTCAGGCTTCAAAGACCTGCGCCGTCACCTACCTCGGTCAGTGTCGTAGAGGTAGACGAACTTCTGCCACTTGTAGTGAGAGAGCAGGCTGAGGACAGCACCCCGGAGGGCGGGGCGCATCTGGATGACAAACTGCACCTCATTATCGGTGGGGTAACTGGGTGTGACGAAGGAGGTGTGCAGAGCGCCGCAGAACGAGGTCAAGGTGTTCATGGACTTCTTGTCGTAGAATCCGAAGATGGCGTACACCCCGCGGGAGAACTGGGAGCAAACTGCAGGGACAGCAGAGGGCAAGAGGACACGAGTGTTAAGATATTAGTCAGCAAAAAAATGTCTATGCACATTCACAAATGTGAGCCTCATCCCTTTAGGCAGCAACAGATCGATTGAGTCGTTTGACCCACCACTAACAGCAAATTAAGGGTCGACTCTAAATGACCCCCAATGCAACTGATTGAAGCATTACACATATCATGGAAAATCAAATAATAAAAATACATAATAATATATAACTATATGTAAAAATCCTGATGTGTTCTGTATAGTCAGATTCATGGTTTTGTTTTCTTACTCTTTGATCAGAACTGACAATTTAGGCGATGTACAGCTACTAGTCTGAGACCTTTTACATTTGAGAGCTTGTTATATATATACACACACACAAAAAGTAACATTTTTATAGATATACCAGAACTTGAAACTTGGATTTAAGCAAAAATGTAAAAGAAATTGCAAAAATGCTTCTTTATAGAAGGGAAGTGCTGCTTTTCTTTGTCTTTTGTGACAGTAAACTATCAGGCTGAGGACAGCGCAAGGACAAAATGAGCATAATGATAATGTCACCTTGGGCTTTAGGAGATTGCGACGGGCGTTTTTCACTGTTTTCTGACATTTTACAGACCAAATTAGTCAGTTCAGGGGCATTCCACAGATTTTACACTTCAACTTCAGTCATTAGGGCTACTACTCAGCCTGTGTGATGGCCTCTAGGGCTCGAGAGAGAGATTTCCATCGTCTGAAAAAATAACCCTAATGATGTCATCAGGGTTATCTCAGCTTGGGCTTGGAGACTACAACCCCCTTTGAATGAGTAATCAATCATGGAAATAATTGCTAGTTGCAGCCCTAAAGCCTGATACCCATCCCCAGTGATCACAACATAGAAATTTATACTTGGTATTAATGTTCAGTCTCAGATACGTTATTTGGATAACATATGTGAAGAAAGATGCATGTTACATAAAATACACAATGGTGAAAAAGCAGCATGCACTGCATCAGAATGTGAACTGGCAATAGTCTGGCTCACATTGTGACAGGATGTCAGCAGGAATCCCGTAGGTGTAAATGCAAGCGGTGCAGTGTGTTTATGTGTGTTTGCGATGGAAGGAAAGCGGCAGCCAAAGGACAAAAACATCAAGCCGTTCACCAAAGGTCTCCAGCTCCTACCAGGAGCTCCCACCAGTTATCGCTCAGTTCCCTCATACACAGTGAAGGAGTCACTGCAGCATTCACAGCAGCTGCGAGAGCCACTGCTGCCTGCCGCCGCTTCTGTTACCTCCCACGATAGAGCTGAAAAAGACAGCTCTCTCTGCCTCAAGTGAAAAGGGAACACAGCTTCACTGTCAATGACCTCAGGTATACCCACAATGTCTTTGTTGGCGAAACAATGTCAGCTACCGCTACACACAGCTATACAGCTATACACAGGCTTCCTGTTACTTTTAGAACTGGTTTTAAGGTTCTACTCCTTATATACAAAAACTTTTATGAGTGAGCACCAAGCTACCTTGCTAACTCCCCAATTAATTACAAAAACTATTGAACGTTCCCAGCAACACCCATAGGAAAACTAGGGACGCAGCTTTTGTCAATTACGGCCCAAAGGTATGTAACACACTACCTATAGATATCAGAGAAGCCAGCTCACTAAGTATTTTTCAAAGAAAGATAAAAACTTATCTCTTCACTTTAGACTTTAACTATAGCTCTGAAATTCTGCACTTTGCTCTGCACTTATACACTGCAGCACTTCTTTTAAATACTGTTATAAATATTGATGTGGGTGGTTGGTTAAGAAATTTGCAAGAAAAAGACTGTGGTCGTGTGTGTGTATGTTACCCCCCCACAGCACCACCAAAGAGGGTGCTCTTCTGGTATTCTGGGGCAGCTGAAAGAGGCTGACTCCGGTGTAATCAAAACCTGTGGTATATTTGTGTCCGTCGGGAAAAGAGGTTTTTAGTACTGTTTGCCTCACAGCCGAGGTGCCATTTAATAGGAGTGTACAGAGAAAAGTTTTTTGTTTAAAGAAAAAGTTTCCAATTTTATTATTATTACATGTCATTTCATGTGAAGCTCTTAGTGCATGTAATTTTTTTGTTGTAGAGCACACAATACAAATACAAAAATGATTACTATCATTATTATCATTATTACTGTTATTATATACATATATACTATATACATTATATCTTAATATATCAAATTATAAAATTTGATCTGTTCAGAAAGAGGGCAGAATGTAAACGAAAAGGCAAAAACATGCCTTAAGGTATACACACACACAGACATAGTGTGTACATATGACAGTATCAAAAACAAACATCTTATACGACAAGCTGTAGAAAAACCAGACACTGTTCAGTGAAATTGCTACCTGAGATGAGCAAAGGTAAAAGAAAATAAACAGTCACATAATCATTTGAATGTCTTCACTGTAACAAATCTATAACAACTACTTCGGGGGAGTGAACTTGTCAGTGATACAAACAGTTTTGTTTTCTTTAATCAGCATGCGCATCAGATGACATTTCTTGAGAGGATCAAAAAAACAAAAGAATGTTTCCGTTTGCTTGTGTATTCATCACGCACTCTAGTGGGACAGCATAAATTGTGAGACAGGAGCGACTTCCATTCAGTCAGGAGCCATTAATGTGTAAACTAATATTCAGAGCTACAGGTGTGTTTTGCTTTTATTACCATATCATGAATGGCTGTTCACTTATTCCAACTGACTCTCGAGTGTTCCCGCTGAGTAATCAAGCATTCTCAACATCCGTAAACACTGTGAATATTCCTGTACAATGGGTTTGGACATTGACGAAGGCTCTATCCGGTCTTATGCAATGCCAATGTTAAATATCTGCTTCTGATTGGCTAATGGATATCCATTCAAGCTGTATGCTGGGATATATCAGACGTAGCGTGAGCTCAATTCATCACCAACATGACAGTTTGTACTTTGTGCCTCCATCCTAATCAAGCACAAGATGTAATCACACACAGATACACACACACACACACACACGCAATAAACATTTTTCTCTCTTTTTCTGCCCGTGACAGCGTTACAGTATGTACGAACCTTTCTGATGCTCAGAGGACGACATGACATAGGCTCTTAAGCACAATTGTCGTGTGAATGAGAGATCTAGTCACTGCTGGGATTTTCCTCCTCCTTTTTAATTCTATTTCCTCCCTATCTCTCCTGGTACAGACACCTCTCCCAAGGTATAAGCATCCATTGTCAGCAACACACATACACACACACACACGCACAGATGCAGGCATACAAGCATGTACACACACACACACACACACACACATACAACACAGCTTCTTGATAAGTGAATCAACAGATGGACAGCAGTATTGTGGGTAAGTGCTGCAGGGTGAATGGTGCAATCTCCCTCACTGAATGGGAGCCAGTAGGAGTTCCAGACCTCGTCGAGGCCCAGTTTCCTCTGCACTCTCTCTTAATTTGGGCCAGTACTGACACAGAACCTATCCTAGGGGACCAGATCTGGCAGCCTCTTTCTCTCTGCTCAGCTGTCCTCTGCTTATTAGGTTGAGCTTTGAGCAAGCCCATGCTTCAATAACAGATATGTCCACAACACACACACACACGCACGCACGCACACACACCCTCTCTCCCTATACCCTTTTCTTTTATGCCCTCTTCTTGCCCCCGTTAGTGATACAATGTCTTTGTGTTTCCTCCTCCTCAGGGTCGCCACCTTATAGTGGCGGAAAGGTTTGCGTGCTGCAGGGATCCCATGAGCGACGCCATCGAGAGCGACCCGAGCTGCATACACAAAGGTTCTCCCGTGGCGGTGAGGATGTTCTAGACAAAGAATGACCTGTTCTGTTTTTTTTGGGTTTTTTTTTTTTGGGGCAGGGGTGGGGGGGGGGCATGGGCCAGCCAGTCTCACTGCACCAGATCTGCCAGCCTCCTTGCAGCTCTGCGGCTCAGACACAACTCGTGCTCAACTCTGTTCGCCTCAAGAGCTGCACACTCCTTTCTTTGCGATTCAACACCTTTCGCCAGAGTCTGCCCTCATGAGCGTCACTTGTGACAGGTTATACATGGCTTTATTGCGCTGCCCTCCACAGCCAAATGCAGGCATTGCCATAAACAGAGGCGACTACAGGTAGTGTAACACAACATACAATTAACGGTAGCAGTGTTATTGATTTTCAAATGGAGTGCCGTAAGCTGTGCTGTGCAGAAACCTCTGACCCATTTCCATGGTCAGAGGCTAACAAGCCGCACCACATGTGGAGACGTCATACGTTCTGAAGGTGTTTATACATTGTGTGCTGGGGTTGACAGTAGATAAGGTGGAGCTACATTAGCTGTGCGGTTAATCGTACTTGATTAACCGAACGTGTCATCGCATCAGTACAAATTACCCTTCCTCTGGCTGCCAGCTACAACCGTCTACAACCAACTACAACAAACTGCTGTTAAGGAAATAGCAGAAATCAATTTGCTGTTTCACACAGTGAGGGGAGAAAAACAAAGAAGCGTGCACGGCTCTTATCACCAACAGCTGGGATCATCTGTGAGGAATGAGCACGTGGTTTTTTTTTTTTTTTCTCCAAATTTCGTCTTTAATTTGCATATTTTTGTATAACATTATAGCTTTCTAATTAATCTACATTTCTGTTAGAAGCTGCACCAGTTTGCTACCTCGCTAATTTGCCGTGCATGTAAATTTCTTAACCTTTCAAATTTTTTAATAAATTCTAATTCTTTCAGTCAAAGGTGAATAACAAGGCAGCGGAGCAAATGAGCAAGAGCGTATACACTGACAAGTTTATTAATAGGAAATAGCAAACAAACAACAAAAAAAGCAATCAGCACAAACATATTGACAAAGCCCAACTGAGGCATTTCAAGTTTTAAAGTCGATCGGACAGATTCCACTCAGAGCCGACAGTGCATCTGAAAAGTTCCAAAAAGTTCTGGATTAAGAGTCACACTCCCTAT